CTTTCCAGCCACTCTTCCCCAAGCCTGTAGCGTTGCATGGCTACATATGAGGCATCCTAGTATGTTTTGAAACAATCCTACAGGATTGTACTTCCACTTGTACTAGATTGTATTACTTTTTATGGTATTATTATTTTAAACTAAAGGAGGGTAGATTTCAACTGGATATAAGGAAGGATTTTTTTACAGTGAGAATGGTGAAGCACTGGAACAGGTTGCCCAGAGAGGTGGTAGAGGCCCCATCCCTGGCAACATTCAAGGTCAGGTTGGATGGGGCTCTGAGCAACCTGATCTGGTTAAAGCTGTCCCTGCTCCCTGCAGGGGGGTTGGGCTAGATGACCTCTAAAGGTCCCTTCCAACCCAAAGCGTTCTATGATTCTATGATTCTACAGTTTCTATCCCCTTGGGAGCTCCAGGTGCCCTGGGAAGATGTACCCACATGGCCATCCTGTGAGATATCACAGTCATTCAGACTCTCAACAATTACACTGTAATTTCACCTCTGAAAGTGTCTGTCATGGGAACAGTTTGGGGGAAACCTTTTACCTTCAGGTAGCTGGATAACTTGCGTTTTTCTGTGGTAGACTGAATACCATTTCTTCCTATTGCACTCACTGTTTTAAACACCTTGCCGAGCCAAAAGATGCATTTGTCAGATGCACAAACCCCAACTGATTTCCAGCATCTTCCAGCAAACTGTTCTGGAGTCCAAACCGACCTGTATGTCTGGGCTGTGTATTAGCAGGGACCACTGAAGTGTGAAGTTACCCAATATAAGCCTCAGACTTCATTAAACACGTTTTTTCAGAAATTAAGCTCATATCATTAGTATTTAAATAGTTAAGCCCAGGTATTCCAGGCTGTAACACAAAGGAAAATCTTTACCTGTGTCCTCTAGCCCTCCAGCAGCCAGTCAGGACCACCGGAGGCTCATCAACCCGTTGTAAGTCCAGATCACCGTTATGCTTGAGCATGATTTTCCCTATGTGACATAAACCATAAACTCCTGTTGATTGCCACCGGTCTAGCCTCTAGGGCCCCCTTTCCTCTTATCTACCTATTCACGCAGGTAAAGTAAAGGGCTGTCTTCTTCCTCAAAGTGGAGAAGAGAAAACCATCTGCCCAGCTTGTCTTCCTCTCAGTGCTCCTGCCAGTGTGAGCCATGAACAACAACAGCCTGGGCTTAACAAGTGTAAGCAGGGTCTAGGTCACAAAATTCTTTTGGCTTACAATGAAAATTAATTCTACAAGCTACTCAGCAAGCCATGAAGTGTACTTGTCATAGAAGTGCAAGGTATCAGAGAGGAAATAGCCAGTGTTGTATTAGGAAGTGGTTCAAGAACATCTATGGCTACAGTGTTGCAGATGAAAATTTAGAGGATAAGGTTTTCGTTTCTCTGAAAGAGGGTTTTTTTTAGTTTTTTAGTTTTTTACCCAGTTTTGCCACCAACTTTATTCTTATTTTTGCAGACTTCTGTCTTCTTGTTTTTAGTGGTTGTAAAGTCTTTTACCTGTCTGGTTTTGTGTGTGTGTCTTTCTCCCTGTCTTCCTGTAAATACTGGCAGTCTTTCATTGGGCTGGCTACAGAATACTCACGCTAACTCTAATGAGCAAGGAAAGAATTTAACAGCATCACTGTTTACAGGAGATGGTTTTCTAACATTCAGAAAGAGAAAACTTGTGTCAGTTTATAGCTGTTGCTCTAAAGGTGGACTTGCAAAGTTTTAACAAGAACATTTTAAGCATACATTTTATTATGTTTGAGATAAATAGCATCTAACATGGCTCTGTTCCTAAAACAAGGCAGTAACTGGCTGAAGGATGAGGTTTCCTAGGTGGCATGAATTATTCTTACATACAGATTGAAAAAAAGTAACGCAATGGTGGGGGCTTTGCTTGATAAGCATAAATTCGAATGGCTCATCGCTAGCTTATGAAAGGCCAACATTTTGAAAAAGTTCCTGCTGTTGAGCTCTTGGGGTTTTCTGCAGTATAGATAGGCATGATGATACAGTGCCAAGATTAATATCTAGAAAATGAGAACTGATTATCCTGCACAAGAATGCTCTGTTGGTCTGTCATAAAGTATTCTTAATAGTGCTGGCAGAAGGATCTTTCTATGCGCCTGTTCAGCCAGTATTTAGAACTTCTTTGCCATCAATACAATGTGAAATGTTTGTGTCCTCCAGTAGTTATTTAGGTCAGAAATTACAGTTGTGGTGAACTCTCTTTAATCCCAACACTTCTTTCTTCAAGGAGTTCACTTCCAAAAAGATGGAGGGGAAAGAACTCTTTCAAAGCAAAACTCAGCATTTGTTTAATATTAGATTAATTTTAGGGTATATGGAGATACCTTTGTACTTGCTGTTTTGCCATTTTTCTTCTGCTTGAGTTTAGCTATCACACAAGCTAAGCAACATAAGGCTTTTGTTACTAGACAGACATGTTATTAAGTAGACTAAAGCAATCAAAGTTTTGTTCTCATTTCTTTTTTCTGCATCCGTATAGAGACTTAGAAAATCTTGCTATAATTTCCAGCCCTACAGTGATTTAATAAAGTCTTCAAATGGTTGGACATTATTTAGCTAGTCAAGATAGTTAAGTTGAGGAATAAAAAGTGGTGCCTAATTCATGAGAGAGAGAGAGGGAGATGTGATTAAGAGGAAGGATCCTATTTGGACTGTAATGATAGCTAGAATGCATGATTATTCTGCAAGGAGCATACAATTTATTTACCTATGAGTAAATGTTACCTTGTGAGGAGTGTGCCCAGGGGAGTGAAGAATAATAATAATCTCCAGTTTATTCTGTCTCATAGCGTGTGTGCTCTGAGGACACAGTACCTGATTTTACAGCATCTGCAGACATAAACTGAAGCTTTTACAGTTAATTCTTAAGCTGTAGAGCAGATGGGGGAAGATGACATTCAATTTAATGCCTACTTATGCACCTTTTACTGTAAACACTAGACTTTTTTTTTTTACAATGTTAGTTTAATTAAGGAATTCACTGGATTCACCAGTGGCTCTACTGATTACTATTTTTATGGGCATCGGCAATAATTTTTGCTGTGCAAAAGGGAAAAAGAGGTAATCAGAGGAGTCAATTTTATAAGCACAATACATGTCCATTCATAGATCTGTCTCCTTAGCATGAGTATTTTTTCAGTCAGTTTAAAAGCACACGAAACACTAGAACTGTTAACTATCACTTTAACTTTCTGAACTATAGAATGTTTATAGCTTTTTCAAATAAAAATGTGTAATATATAAGGGTAATCTTGATTATTTCTCTTTCTCTTTTGAACCAGCCTCTTATTCCTAGAAGTCCTACAAGCAGTGTTGCTACGCCATCCAGCACTATCAGCACACCTACAAAAAGAGACAGCTCTGCCCTTCAGGATCTCTACATACCACCTCCTCCAACAGAACCTTATGTTCCAAGGTAAAAAGCATCATTTCAGGTACAATTCAATGTAAAAAATATTTGTAAAGTAACTGACCATTCTGTTCCTACACGTTTATCAGCCTGCCCTGTGGGATTAGGCTGATGATACTTCATTTTGCAGGTGAACTGGTTATTAAGGGTAGATATGCTGAATCAGACCCACAGTGATCTGAATCTGTGTCTTGTCTGCAGAAGAGAGAGTAGCCTTTAGAAAAGAAGGTTCAGTACCCTATGTTCTCAAATGTGAGGTAATCTATTTTGTGTAACAGTCTCATCCTATTTCGGAAGAGCAAAAATTACATGAAACCCTGAATCTGTAACTAGGAAAACAGTTCGTATCTGTCCCCTTGCCTAATAACCAAGATGCAACAAAGGAGGCTGAGCTAAAAGCAAGAAACTTTCAGCTTCAACAAGAGCACTGTTTTCTTCTGCCATAGTGTTTTCTTTTTTAGATATATTTGATTTGATAGTGTTAGATCAAATTTCAAGATTGCTTTTTAGTGTGACCACTCTGCTAGATTCTGCAGTGACCATTCTGTTCCCTGTAAATATATCTGCTACTCTGACCTGCCGCTTGGAACAGGCATTTTCATCTCTCCCAGGTCTCTGGGTTTGCTGAGCCAGAAAAGCAGCAGATCTTCTTTGCAGATTCATCACCTTACCCTCACATGACCTCAAAGGATTCAGTATAATTCCATAATGTACACAGATGTTGCTTTCCTAAAATTCTGAGAGAATTATGGCCTATAAATAATACAGAAGTAGCTACCCATAGGTCTAGGAATGTATTTAAGAGGAATCAGTATTGTTAAAGCTTCCATCTTCTTAGACACAGGTTATCATATGTCTAGGCAATGTATTTTTAAATTATATCTTGCTTTTTCTTTCAGTTAACTTTCTTGGAAAGTCTTAGGTTTCTCTTTGAATGCAGTAGTTACATGGTAAAGACCTGTTGCTTCTGAAACTGGAACTGTACTATCCTCAAAGAAGTAGTGCCTTTGTACTGCTACTGATCATGTTTACCAGCACAAAAATACTTTTATTTGATAAAAAATGCATCCTCTTTTTTGAAGTGTTTTTAGTGAATATTCACTGCTCAGCAGTTTTTGAGTTCTGCTCTAGAAATTGAGATCTTCAGAATGCATTTTGATTATTTATTAATAACAGTTCTTAAATCATGTTCATAATGCAGTAGTTTGGACCAATTGTGATTAAATTTTATAATACATATTAGTATAAGCTGTAATCTTACAGAGAGATTAAGCTATGTACATCTGAATTTTTTTTATCAGCTTAATCCTAACGGACTATAGTTCATTTCACAAACCTGTCACATAGTGTGCAGTGTTTCTGAATAATCTGTTTTGGCATTTCATCAGTTTTTTTTGTCCCTGATTAACTATATTTAAGCATGACTTTATTTCAGGTATTGTCAAACTGTTTAGGATCTGTTTCTCAGTTTGTTGTTACTGTTCCAAGGAAAAAAAAAAAACAAATAAACCCTCCTTTTGTAACTGGAGTAGAGTAAAAGACTTGATATTTTGATGTAAATTGCAAAACCCTGAAGCCATGCCGCCTTGGTGACGATACCCACAGATAGTACAGCTGCTGACATAACCGCACACGGATGGCATGAGAAAGAGGAACCGACACTTTCCGTGTGCCGGTTACTTAGAAGTGCTGCTCATAAGTCAGTGCCTGCTCAAATTTTTTGAATACCTTTGGGGATGAGAACTGAAGCCCTCATCTCCAGCTGGCTGTGGCAAAGGGTGTTTACCTGGTAGCTCTGCACTTCTCTCCGTGCTCGCAGTAAAGTTCCCTCCAGCTCAGGCTGCCCTCATTGAGGAGGCTTCCTTGTGCCAGACCCTGATGGTAGCTGCAGCACCGATTAGCATCTGGCTGTTTTATGTCAGTCTCCATCATGTTACCTGCCGGGCTCCTGCAGCACTGTCACCACAGAAAGTCTTTCTGTGACTGGAGATGAGCTCACAGCCCTGGTGGGACTGCACCGGCCCCCCTCGCTAAGCCAACACCATCGCAGTTCTGGGAAAGCAGCCTGGGAAAGTGAGCGTAGTGGTCAGTGGGGGTTTGTGGTGCTGCGCTGTTGCAGCCAAGGCAGGATGGCCCTTTCTCATCCTCCATGGCTACCTGGATCCCATGAAGAGGCTTTGCTTCATCCTCAGATGGAGTCTCGGGGTGCCAAGGGTAGTATGGGTCAGCATGCTGGCCAGCTTGGAACTCACATGGCAGTCCAGAGGGGCAGAAGTGCTCCAACGAGGGCATGAGGCCCCAGCTTCTCTCTTGGCTGCCTCCATGCATTTTGTTGCCCAGAAATGACTCTCTGATTAGGTCTTTTGCAGCCACTTCCAGGTACAGTCCTACCAGCAGGTTTACTGAGCCCTGCTTTATCTATGCAAGGAGAGGGCTCCTACCCCACGCACAGCTTGCTCTCTTGTTTGATGCCTTTGAGTAGTTTGCGTTTTCAGAGAGTGGGGCAGGGGTGCAGAGAAGGAAAAAGCAATCATCTTGGGGATCTGTACACAAACTGCAAAGTGCGTGCCTTGCAATGCATTGCTGCCCTGGGACAGCAGCTCATGATCAGGAGCTACACACCCTATTTGGTACTGCATGGATGTACCTATATAACTTCTAGGCCCGAGTTGATTATGCAAGACTATGTCAAATGTCTGTACGTCATTGGTCCCTGGTTCTTCTTGGTCTGGGGTTAGTTTGTAAGGAACCAGATTGAATTTGTCCATGCTTGCCTTATAGCTGTGTCTTAAAACTATCTGATGTATTTAAAAATGCAAGTATAAAAAAGTAAGGTCAACATTATTTCTATGCCCTAAATCACAAAATGCTAGGTAGAGTCCAAAAAACAAGAAAAAAAGAGTAGTTGCATGTCAGCTTTATTGCTATGATTCTTTTCAAGATAAACCAGTAAGATGGATACAGTCATTTAAAGAATTGAATAAGCAGAGATGTGTGAGATAAGTGGCACATACATGCATACATATGCATATATGATGTGTGATCCTGATGTGGTCGATGGCATCTGTTTCCTGCTTATATGAAATATTGACATATTCCCATGTTTATTGAAATATTCATAGTAAAAAAAAAATATCAATGTCTTATCCCAATATATTAAAAACCTCTCTTGTTTACTAAAGGGATGAAAAAGGAAATCTCCCGTGTGATGATGTTGGCAGACATATAGTGGGCAAGCCGGTTCATACAGGATCCGAATCTCCAAACTCATTTCTTGACCAGGAATATCGGAAACGCTTTAATGTGGTTGAAGAAGATGCAGTTTTATACTGCTATGAATATGAGAAAGGAAGAACAAGTGGTCCTGGAAGGAGAGAGAGCACACCAACATATGGTATGGCATTGATCTAATAAGGATAATCACCATTTGTTGATTTTAGGATTTTTGTGCATCTGCTTTTGTTTTTAAGCATGAAAATATTTTCAGTGGCCATTGATTTTGCTAAGAACTCTGTACTACTTTAGTCCAATCTCAACCTAACAGCTTATTCTGTGCAAGAAAAAAATAATTACAAGAAAAAATGAATAGGGAGGGCGAGTCCAGTTTTATACTGATGATTTTTCTGAATACAAGTTCTGTAATTTTGTTATCATCAGCTTAATTTGCCAGATTATGCTCCAGTATCGTTTTACCAAAAAAACCTCAAAACTGGCAGAAGCCCATATATTTTTTCTAAAAGTACAGGATGGAATTGTTCTCCCAGTATAAGGGCAAGACTTGCATAGGTTTAGGAATTCAGCATTAGAAAAATTTACCCAGGTATAATGGTTTTAAAGATCAAAACCACTTCAGATTTACCAAGAGATGGCATGCTGCTTTCATACTGCACTGCTTTCTAGAACTCTTTAATTTTTCTTTAGTCCCAGAAATCAAGTATGACTGATGAGAGTATGCTTTTTTAGTAATACTGTATTAACCACCTGTCACTTCCTATATGGGAAGTGATGACTTCCTGTATATAGCAGTTCCTCTTTATTTGAGGTTATATGTTGTTTAAGAAAGAATTTTGCATGTAGACACACACGTATCTTGGATTTTGCCTTATTTAGGATAAGAACTCTGAAACAATTTCTGGTGAGAGTTTTGCTCCTCAAGCCCTTATGCTCCAGGTTATTTTCCCTTTGAATCTGTTCAAACTCTTCCTTTAGCTGGTATTGTAACTTGTTTCAGCTTTGGACTGGGAGAACTGGTTTTCTGTTGCCAAGTGTAAAATTGTGCAGTCATAGAGTTGTTAGGATATAGAAGAAAATGAAGAGGAAATCTCGTGTTTAAAAAAGATATTTTGACTACTGTGGTATTAGCTGAGCACACACTTGAATATTTTTTCACCCTACTTGCTATGTTATTTCAATTTTTAAACTGAGCACAAGCTGTCTGTTGGAGTTGTTATAGTAATCCTGACATCATATCCCTTTGAGAAGAAGATAGACTTAATTTATGAGGAAGCATAGATTTAGTACATGATGCAGCAAAACTCAAAATCACCTGGGAACCTTGATATAAATTGAGCTTGAGCTGTGTAAAGTATCCTTAGGATGTGGAGCAATGTGCTTGCACAACATTAAAGGATGCATTTTCATAAAATGCACCCTTTCTACACAACTACACAATCCTGCTGCAAAATCCTCAGTATCCTTTTGATTTCAAAGTGTTTTCAGGTGTTCTCTAACCATGCCCATAGTGTACAAAATAACTGCTAAGGTTTCAAAGCGGAGATAACAATTTTATTACTCCAGTATTTCAACTATTACCATTGGTGGATGCAATCAGTTCCATTAACAGAGATGTACTCTTGGTTCCAGATGTTAAAGTCTAATACTGGAGGTCTAGAGTGAAGAAGAACACAATTCTTCTTCAAGGACTGCTGAATCCATTATTTTGTTACAAGATAGCTTTTTCAGCCTTTTTTTCTATTTGCAGAAAGGGTTATAAATACATGGATCAAAGACTGCGCCGGAAATCAGTCATTATTTATCACATTTGTTATACAGCCTTTCACTTTTGATCTCACTTCTTTTTTAATGAATTCACACCTTCGAGTCCATTTTCATTTCAGTGTATTTTCTAAAAATATTACCATTGCAGCATTAAATTCTAAAGTTTCCCACGTGGCATTTGTTAGCATAAGATTTATGGGTAGGCTTGACCTTAGGATTTCACAGAAATCTGGAAAATGACAATATCACTCTTCTGGCTTATGGTGACCCATTAAAGAAGGACAAACAGAGTTCCAAGGCCTAGAAAAATAATTGTTTTCAGCATGTACTCATCATTAATTATGTGGTGGTGGTTTTCTTTTTTTTTTGTTAATATTTCTCAGTCCTCCTTCGTGAGAGGTTAATAGGGCCCTCCATAATTTCTTTAGTGGAATCTTTTGACATTTTTTGACAACGTCAACAAAGAGATTTCTCTTTCATGCTCTTACTGGCTTCCAGCTGTTGTATAATTGTTGCTAGTTGGCCTCAGAAAGCTTCTGTTCACATCCCAAGGAAGAAATTTTCCTGAGTGTAGTCACCAGGGAAAACAGATTTAGGGAATCCATAGGGGTTAACAAGAAGGAGATTAGCAGAGGTAGCAGGCAAATGAAACCTGACTTTAAGGAAAGAAACAAATTTGGTCATTGCAGTTTTACTGCCAGATACAAAAAACATGCACTTTGAACAGCTAGAGATTTTGTAGAAAATTTGTTATGGCTACAGCTTTTGGTAACAATCAGGCTTTAAATGATTTTGTAGCTTTTGTATCTTTTTAAGTGTGCAGGTCCTTTCAGTAAGATACTGTGAGTTCAGCCTCACAAAGAAGAGAAAGTTGTATTTCTAGAAAAAGTAACCATTGAAAGTTACATCTGATCAAGTAAACATGAGCTGAATACATCCCCACTCAGGAAATTGCTGCTTAACTGTGTGCTCTAAATCTCACCAGCTTCAATCAGACTTAAATGTGTGTCCATAAATAGTAAAATAAATGATAAATTAAAAGTTAAATATATATGTTGTATTTCCTGAGCAATGATGTATTTGTGACCTGATCCTGTGGTCTGTAGAGAACATACACCTTTTTTTGTCATTTTTTTAAAAACACAACACAACCTTTTACCATTATGCTGCCTGCATTTCCCATGGATGCCATACTTCAATAGGTAGATAGACATGTTTGAATATTTGTTTTCATTATAAACACATCTTTCTTTTTTACTGTATCATGGTTTTAACCTCAAAAATGTGGACTAAGACCAGTCACCTTTATGTAGAGGTTTTCTACTTCAACTAACAAGACTTCTGAGGTTTTAACTTTAAGCTCTGCTAGTTTTAAAAACAAATTATTTTTCCACTTTCTGGTTTTGTGACGGGTAGATTGATTCAAAAAAGAGCGAGGGCTGACTTTGTTGTGAAAACATTTTGTTTTCAGTCTGCCAGATATTGTACCGTATGCTATGCTACTCTGTGTTTTGTTTCAATATACTATTTAACTTGCTAAAAACTTCAGACCACTTTAAGTAACCCCATTAAGTTGCATAGCACACTTTCACTGAATTTCCAACTATATTTGTGGAATCCTTAAGCAGAAATCATAGTTCACAGCATTTTAAAAAATCAATTTAGCAGCTTCCAAATAAAAATTTAAAAGATATAACTGTCTTCCGCTTTTCTGTCTCTTGCTGTCTGAAATCAAAGTGAATTTACCAATAGTAGTGTACTTTGCTTTCTGTGGATGAAATGCTACAAAAGAAATTACATGTAGAGGTTTTCTGCTGCTTTTTTTACTCAGTCACTGATGGATCTTTTAAGCCCACCAGCAAAGATGCTATTTGTGAAGGTACTTTAGTGATGTGGACATGTTTCTGTTACCAATCATTCACATATGCTTTAAAACAGTTCTCTCCACACGTGTGCCAGGGGCTTCCAGAATAATAAATAGATATTGTTCAGTGAAAACTAAAGTAATTCGAATGTGCTTGTCAGTCTCAGATGTCAGTCCACTGATGATTTTGTAGGGCATTGGATTTATTTTCTAAACTTAAAAAAATCCATTAAATACTTAGCTGCTTCTTGGCTATTAAAGAAAACAGAACTCCTATCTTAACCTCTTGCTCAGAGGTGATGCTGGATCCTCTTTCATAAGCATCCTGTAGAATAGCAGCTTAGCACATAATTTGTTCTTTCTTCTAAAGAATGTTAGTTTAATGCTGCCTTATGGTGCATGATCTCAATTTTTTCCTCTGTTTCCAGGGAAACTAAGGCCTATTTCTATGCCAGTAGAATATAACTGGGTGGGGGATTATGAAGACCCCAATAAAATAAAAAGAGATAGTAGGAGAGGTAAGTGATCTGAACACACATCTTGTACAAGGCATTATGGGTTTTATCATGCTTTAAGCTATATATTTCAACCTCATTTTGCTGCTTGCTTAGATATATAGAATCACAGAATCATAGAATCGTTTAGGTTGGAAAAGACCTTTAAGATCATCAAGTCCAACCATTAACCTAACACTACCAAGTCCGCCACTAAACCAATTAAGGGTAGAGTAGTAATTCATTTCATGTTCCCTGGCTTGGCTATATTTCTGTGAACCTGTTTTGGGTTCTTTCATTACGTATATTTAGTATTTTGCAGAGCTTCTATTAGGATTGAGGAAGTTGCTCAGCCAGGCAAAAGAAAATCATGACAGCAAAGCCCTGCAGTTTGACTTAAATTTATATTGGCATTTCATTGATTCAGCTGTGTTAGCCAGTCCATTTTGAAACTGGCCTTAATTTTATAATACTAGAGGACAAATGTATGTTTATTACTGATAAATATTGTTATGCTTAGATGAGAATTATATATTCCATTTCTCTGTCTTCATGAGTTCTTTTTGGATGGAAAATATTCTAGAGCAGCATGGGATTCACCTCAAAATCATCGAGGATAAGTTCTTCAAAATTCTGGTTTGTGAGGCTCAGATACATAACTTCACATAGAAAATTATAACCTCTGAGATGGCTATTATCGCCCAGGAACAAGATGTTACAGTAATGATAGATATTTCCATAAAAATATTAACTAAATGCTCAGTAGGGAACAGAAAAGGAAACACTGTTAGGAATTATTAGGAAAAGAATAAAAGACAAATTAAGAAGTATTTTTATGCTGCTGTTTAAGTTCTTGCTCATGCTGGGTGTGTGTGCAGTACTGGTCTCTTCATCTCTTAAGAAAAACATAGTAGAATTGAAGGTCTAGGAGACAACAAAAATGATCAGATGTATGGAGTGGCTTCTGAACCAGGGTCAATTCAGTAGGCTGGCCATCATCAGTTTTGGAGAACTTAGGCAGGACATAATAAAGGTTTATAAAACCTTGTGTGGAATGAAGTAAAGAAATAGGTTTTGTCACCTTTTTTTCCGAAACAAGACCCAAGAGACATCAAATGTCTTCGTCGAGTGCTGGTTAAAAAGAAGAGCTGGCTTCTCGTGCAGTTTGGGTTCAAGCTAAGGAACCTCTTGCCACAGGAGGCTGTGGATACTGAAAATTCACATTAATACAAGGAAAGACCAGACAAGTTCGTGAAAGAAAAATCTGCTGAGGTTTCCTAAATTCACAAACATTACTTCTGGTTCAGGATATCCCTCAGCTACAAGCTGGTAGATGCTGGGAGAGTATTCAGGGAAAGTATGGATGGGACAGTGAATGATCTCAAATGAATGTTCAAAGCAAATTACTTTTAAATGTATGGCACCAGAGTCATTTGTATTCATTAGGATCTTGTTTAAAAAAAAGATTACAGATATGATCATAAGTGTATCATTGCTCATTTTTTGAAAACTCCAAGACAAAATTTATTGATGTGGGGCTTCTATTATACTCTGTTCCTTTTATTGTCAAAAATACCGGAAAACTGCAAGAATTATGAATTTTTCCTACCAAAATATTGCTTTCTTATTATATCCAGACCAAAGAAGCAAATGGGTTTTGTTAATGAAGTAGTCTTGAAGAGTTAAAATTTACAGTAGATCTTAGCAAGAATATTATATATTTTGGAAGCAGGATTAACATACATACAGCAATTCACAATGATGTCTTCCATTACTTTTCTTTCAACAGAAAATTCATTGCTTCGCTATATGAGCAATGAGAAAATAGGTCAAGAAGACTACATGTTTCAAAGGAATAGCAAAAAGGATACTGGGAAAAAGTCCAAAAAGAAGGGAGACAAGAGTAGTAGTCCAAGTCATTACTCGCTGTTGCCTAGCTTACAAATGGACTCATTGAGACAAGAAGTCATGGGCACACCTGGACCAGAAACTGCTTTGTACCACGTGAGTAAAAATAACATTAACAAAAGTTGTTGCTCTGTGCTTGTGATGAGAGACTGTCTTGTTTTTATAGTGGTGTTGAAACCTTTTTTTGGACTGCTGCTGTTGGACTGATTCCTATTCTTCGGACAATAACTAGATCTCAAAGAAATATTCTAGAATTCTTTATTTTGCTGTTATATATGTGGGATGGACACCAGGGTTTTATCTCCTTTAACTAGAAGATGTCATGTTTGAAATGGAGTGTGGTCTCTCTGCCTTGACTTACTTGCTACTGATGGACAGGGAAGAAGCAGCAGTTTCCAGACTGGCTAGAAACCTTCTTTCAAGCATCTATGGCACTGCAATATGCTAAGTCTTATCAGTCAACCCCTTTACTACAGGTACTTGAAAGGCCTGATAATGGCAGGAAAACCTGTGGGATTCATTTGTTTTTCCTTTGAGGTAAGGGGAGCCCTAATGCGTGTAACTGTTTGCAACATAATAGCCCTCAGTAACTCAAGTAAATGTGAAGAAAAGGATTCTGCTGAATAGGATATAAAAGGAAAATTGCAGTAACTTGCTAGTTTTTAAATGTGCCAAGAAAATGGAGTTAGAAGATCACAACATATTTTAGATATGATATCACATATTTACATTTTAGATCTCAGTAAAAGATGTCATTGTAGAGGAATATACATACGGTAACTGTACAGCAAAACAATAGAAATAATTGAAATTATCTTCATATACTAACAAAGAGTATGTAATTTAGATTGCCACTGTCTAAGGGAGATGGCAGTGTGAGCTTGTCAGGAAGTCTGCTGTGAAACAATGGCAGCTTCACTGAACCTTTAAGAGACAACGTAACTTGGTTTCCTGTTGCAAAACGTCACTAGGGATTATTGCACTATAATTGGTGTAGATTAATTGAAACTAATGGAGCCTTTACATCCTTTTACACCATCTGAGTGCTTGGTCCACTGGCTTCTAAAACTACTTAGTGTGCTGCAGTGCATAGGTGAGCCTGATAAATCTCAGAAAAGATGTCATTTAGTATTAAAAGTAAGCACTTGTGGTACACTTTAATTAAATCAGGTCCCCAGATTCAAGAACTGCTATTCCCTTTCTTTTTCATTTGTAGTAGTTTAGGTATGATGATAAACATTTCTTCTTACATTATTATTTCCAACTTCAGTTTTATGCTCTTTTTGTAAGTTGGAAATCTGATAGTGGGATGATTTCCGTTTGCAAAGGCAGACTGATATAGTGTTTCCCTAATACATCAAGCCAAGGAGATTGCAAGAGTCCCCAAACTGTCCTCTTTGTAATGTCTGCAGTCTTTCCTAGAAGGAATCTAATCAGTGCCAGAGCCCTTGAAATCAAATATTTACAGAACAAAATAGAAAAGTTGTTCGTTTAACGGAGGACTTTCCACTCAGTAGAGAACAGTGTGGTAAATTTGCAACACTTTCTATGTATTGAAAGAATACTCATCTCTCAATAACGTTTCTATGTTAGTATATGTCAAATTCCTGACACTGTGCAGTGAGAAAAAGGTGGGGTTTTTTAAGGTGCCATCTTTGTTTTTCCTTGGTTTCCTCTGTTACCCATTACGTCTCGTTTCCAAATTGTGTACAAAAATGAATGATGTACACAGGAACTGGAAGAATTCTTCGAAATTCTGGTGGGGAAGTTAATGAGCAAAAGCAAACTTAGAATTGGCAACCAACATTTTTCCTGTACTTCGGATACCCGTCCACAAAACACCTGAACTGTTAACACCACAAATTCCACCAGTATCTGCTAATCCTTTTTGTGCATCATTACCATTAAAGGATGCCTCTCTCTATAATGCCATTAAATCTTCAGCATCTTTTTGGAAGTTTAGTGGGAACTTATTTATTTATAAAAATGAACGAAGATTCTTTGTTCTTCAGAATACAAAGCAGTATTGATCTGCTAACTGGCTTTGAAGCAAAATGCATGAAATAAACAGAAAGAGGAAGCTTGGGCCATTGACTTGTCCCCGGGGAAATGGGAAGGAGGCCTTCACAAAGCCTTTACAGCCCTCTGCAGCTGATTATTGCTGGTCCTATTGCTGGAAGCCACCTGGCTGCCACCATGCAGTAAAATACAGTTCCCTTTTCGTGGTGATGGCACCCAAGCATAGTGGCTTATGAAATCTTAATCTATTTTTCAGGTGGGGTTATATGTCTTTGCTGCACAGGAGAGCCAGAAGTTTTGTAATAAATCGGACAGAACTTTTCTTAAAATCTTAAATAAACAGTGCAGTGAGCAGATAAAGAACAGGGGAATACAAATAAAACACAAGGAACTCATACCTGACTGCAGTACAGTTTTATTAAACTATAGATAACAAATAGGACAATGAAAACATACTTATGCTCAAATTACAAATTGCATCTTAAAGATCACTAAAAAGTGGCTGTCCTATTAGAAAATATTTTTTACAAGCATCAGCTACCTGGTTTTCACAAAGACTTTAGATAATCTGTAAATGGGAGCCTCTGGATGAGCATGAGTTCAGTGCAGAGGGATGGTGGTAGCTCCAAAAACTGCACTAGTAGTAGTGAGAGACTGGGGTTTTTGATTTGGGTTTTTGTTTGGTTTTGTTTTGTTTTTTTAAGAGGTTGATGTTTTCATCATCCTGGAATATCAGATGAAGAGAGAATACTGTGACTGTCTGTGCTGCATACCCCAAGCCAGTGGATTTTCCTGTGCAGCTCCTACCAGGTGGCTGTAGTTGGACTTGTACCTATAGTGCCTCAATTTTTTGTGTTAGGTCCCAGTACTAGAGAATACTCCACCAGGCTTGTTAAGTAGTTCCGATCCCTGGTTGCTCTTGTTAAAAGTTTTCACCTCTTAGCCTGTGTTTACCTGGTTTCTATGTCCAACCTTAGTTATAAATGTACCTTCATCCTCTAGGTTTAAAGGTCTTTTGTTACCAAATTTTATCTCCCAATATAGGAATTTACCAGTTACAATCAAATCACTCTTGCTTAAAAGAAATAGAATAAGCATCCTGGGTTTTTTCATCAGCGAGTATGTTTTCATATCCTTTCGTCATTCTCATAATTTTTTCAACTCCTCGTATTTAATCCTAAAGTATCCTAAGCATCCTTCCTAAAGTATGTATGCCAGAACAGGACATAAATTTCCAGCAGCTGGATAGAAAGGTAATATAACCTTTCTAATCCTGTTCACCACCTCTCTAAATATTTAAAGGACTGTTTACCTATTTTAACTATAGACTTGGAGTGGAAGTATTTTTATTACTTGGTTTTGGTTTTGGTTTTATTTTTTCTGTAATGTCACTTTTCCAAATCACTGATCTGCAAGACTGGTATTCCCAATCTAATATTTTGTATCTTGCACTCTTTGTTCTTAAATATATAACATTGTGTATGGCTGGCCATGTTGAAACATACAACTTCTTGGGTATGCTTGCTGAATAATCTATGTCTCTGAAGCAACCCTAAGTATGAAATACCAGAGAGTAAAGGGTCTGGGCCCGCAAATTGGGCCCTTGTGATTCCCAAGTCCATAGCATCCAGGAATCTGGGGTCTGCTGTGGAATGGAACTACCAAAACCCTTGTTTTTAAATTATGTTTTTAATATACATATTCTGTGAAATAAAAAAAAATACCAACACTGCACATTTATTTTCTTTATTTTTTTCTCTATTTTCTTTTCCCTTTTTTCTGAATTTCTTGGAATGGAAACCATGCTGCTCACTTCAGCATTCAGGTCTCGTGTCACTCACTGGTCTTTGATTCTGTTACCTTTATTCAATGTTTTTATTCTTTTTTGAGTCCATTGATATAAATGTTAAATAATTTTGGACTAAGAATGCATCCCACTAGTTAATGATGAATTCCCCTTACAGTTCCAGGCCTCTTTCCTTTTGAATTTTGCAGCCGTTGACATGTGCAGGTTGATTACCTTTTTACCATGAAGGTTTTCTGCAGAAAAGCACCTTTTACAATTATGCTGACTTCAACTCCTTGCTTCTACTGCTTTTATACATGGCTTTATAGAAAAGAAGTCTTTGATCAAAAAACTACACTGATGAATTAAATTACCACAACAGAAATGGTATGTTTTTGTGCTGTAAACAAAGTGGATGGTGTTAAAAAATTACCATGGTAATTCAGAAGTGGGTGGTTGTTGTTAATTTGCTAAAAGTTATTTTGAAAAAGGCCAGCAGACTCAAATTGTTATATTCTGAAGTGATCACAAGAATGTGGCAGTCTAGCATTTTCCAGACTGTCAGTATACTAAATTTGCATAAAATCACTGGGTTTAACAATTTTGTTTATATTGTTGACCTGCCATTACAAGCGAAAACTGGGTGGTCAAAGGAGCATTTCAGTTATGGCCTTGAAAAGTGAACAGCGTTTACTTGTGTCCACTGAACATAACTGATGTGATAGCAAAAGAAAAAGTGATTTGTGTTATGTCTGTGAAATAATCATCTCTTCTATCCACTTATGGTATTTTTTTAATCCTCACATACAAAGTCTCTTCACCACTTTGCTTTGTTTTGTTTCCCGTTCCAGAAAGTGTTTCCAGCGTAGGTTGATTCCTAGCCAAATTGTTGTTTTTACATTCTATTTTTCTTCCTCAGTATTGCAAAAGAAATACCAACATAGAGTGTTAATGTTTTTATTAAGCCAAGGCAAACTGTTTGAGCTGTTGCTAATCTAGTGTGCAAGCAGGTGTTCAATGTGATCTATTACTGTAGATATAAAACTGTGCAGTTAAAATTGTCTTGGACCTTTGGGGCCCAAGAGATGAAAGCTCTGACACGTGATCACAGTTTTTCAAGTTCATTGTGTTATTCTGTATAGGAATTTCCTTGGTACGTTGTGCTTTGTTTTCATTACAGGAAAATAATGTGGTTATTTAGGAGGGAGATATTGTCATGAGTCAAAAGAAGTTCCACATCAGGTTAATGATAATCTGCTCCTATCTGGATCAATACAACTTTCCCTTGGTC